ATTAACCCACAATAAACANTACCGCAAAGATAGGTGTGTAGATCCCTTTATTGAATATTCTGCATTAGATCATGCTTACCAAGAAAGTCGGCCACTTGCTCATGTCCCTTCGCCGTATACTTAGCGTGTCTTTAATGGACGAAAACCGCTGATGACCAGAACTTCATGTCAAACTGAATTTATGAAACATAGAACTTCTGATTGAGACTGTTCATATAGTTTCATTTTGTCCCCAAAGAAAAAATTTAATATGCACTAAATTGCAACCTAGCGGTCATGAAAGTCTGATAGTAGATTAACGATCGATACCGTATCCCATACTGCATCACACTCATCAAACTCAGACCGGTAAGCACTGTTCACTGTCGGTAGATATTTTGAGGCAAGGCTTTGTTTATGGTGGCTCAGCTGGTTGTTGAGTACGCTAATCAACAGCAAGCCGAAAACACCGTTTTTTGTTTCGAACGCCCTTGCGAACATAATCTACAGAGAGACATATTTTCAACTTTTCAAGGTATTGCTGATGATCAGGGTGATGGTGAGTAACCAAACCATGTTTTTCCCCACTGTTCTACCATTTTTTAAAATCCTTTTTATATTTTCAACCCATCAAATCAGTGGTTCTCTGAAATCTGGTTATTCTTCGCAGTGAATAAATGAGGTTGTGATGAATAATTTCTGTACACATGGCAAACATGCATTTGAAAATCCTCCATGAAAAAATTAACAATTTCACTGTGCATTCCTGAGTCATTTCATCATCGTGCAAACTGCTTAAATCATTAAGTTAAACGTAGGCTGGAGTAGGTTCAAAGACCGAAATGTTGCACTCACGAAAGCACATTCCAAGTGAATTTCTCTTTCGGGATGCAATTCCAGAGCCATAGGATGGAAGGTATGCGTGTTTAGCATTGTGGCAACTAAATGAAACCGCACACTACTGTGATTAACGATGTGAGTCTGTTTGGAGTTAATCCCTGGCAATCAGCCAGCAATTTGAGTGCAACGGCTTGCGAAGGTGACGTAATAATTGTTCCGTTCATTTCCACTAATACATACGACTCGGTGAAGTAGATGGTGGAATGTTGAGCGTGTCCAAAAAGGTTATTACGTTTGACAAAGGTGAAAGAGCACTGTATTATTTTACAAATAAATGTAGCAATCTTTTCTGAGCGACCAAAAAGCGTATTGCATTGAACTCACCCGGGTTATACCTGGGGATTTAATGTTGTTCCATCTGGTGATCGGGCACCGTTAGTTATCCCTAACCCCGTATGAAATAACTCCACGGAACCTGCTAATCTTTTTAATATTCGTGTAGGACAGTTGAGTCGGAGTGTTATTTTATTAACCGATGCAGTAGACGTACCCCGCACATTGTCAATTTCTCATATTTGGGTCATATTTCCGTTAATCTTGGATCAAGAAGGAAATCAAACCACGTACCACGCAACAAATAACCTGATTGTCTGAAACCAAGATGTTTTTCAATGTCAGGGATCGCAAACAACTAGCTAAAAAGTCCATCAACTGATATGACAATAAAATAAATCCGTGATTTATTGTTGGAAACGATTGAAAAATTCAATACGAACCAGTGCTTTACAACGATTTACGGTTAACATGAATATATTCTACCTATCTGGAATTCTTTCTGAGAACCCGGAGTATCTAAATTTGTTCTTATCATATTCAAATCTATTGAAATAAACTTATATTACGCAATAATGGATGTGACTTGGTCTATAGATTTTTGTCATGAATTAACTCACTCCCTATTTGTGTTCTCAACCTTTTTTCCACAAAATCGTGTTAAACTGTTTTTCACTTATGTGGAATAATAATTCTTCCTGACAAAAATTTACGCTTGATCGTAATTCACCATAAAGTGTTTCCCAACTTCTGTTCTCTCCCCCTTCCCACACACACAGTGACTGTGGTTGTGAAAAAGTCAAAGACCCGTAAGTGAAGAGACTTCAAACTGGCTTTTGATTAAGCCCGTAAACAATGGTGAAATTCTGGAGCAATCTTACACACAAAGTACTCTTATTTTTTAGGTACAAGAAAAAGATGGAAAAAGCACATTTTTAGCGAGCTTTTGCGGAGAAGTATACTGAACTACATTGTTTGATGTGGCCTAGTGAAGTGTCTTGTTTTGATTTTGTTACCAAATAAAATCCTATTATAAAAGTAGAATATCGTATCCAAAGGGACTACGCGTTAGATTTTAGTCTGCTATTTCGCGTTGATGAACTTTTCGTTGCGCGGAAGAGGGGATTTTAAATTAAGTTTTGCTCAAATTTTTTTAACGTCTAGTAGCTAACTAGTGATTTTCCATTGATAAACCTCAAAACCAGCGCTTTCGGAAAATTGACCTAACCAGTGGATTTCATTTATTTCCATCCACTGTGAATCATGAGTTGTTTCTATTGAAGCTTATTCCTCGTCGTTTTACTCAGTGTCTGGCTTTGCTGTCCTTCGAACTTTGACCTTCAATCTGGTGCGACTCACAAGATGGTGAGGGGAGAGAGGGACTGAGTGTAAAACATGTTATCGTCATTCTGCGTAAAGAATGTAATCGTACAAGAGGAACGGAGATCGGAAAGCGCAACTAGGGTTAGTAAAAGAGCAAACAAATGCTTTTAGAACCAACTCTCACTTATGGGCCGGCACGATGTAACCTAAACTTTGAAAAAGGGTTCACTTTAATAGGTTTTAACTGTTCACAAATAAACTGAGATTGAAAGTGAATTGAAGCAAGTGGATAGAGAATTGCTTGTAGCTTCATAAATATCAGGGGGAAACTTCATCTATTTTTACCTTTGGCAAGGAAGAAACCTAGCTGTGGCAAAGTGATAACCGACAGCTAGAGATTATTGCGAGCAAGCGATTAATGATGATCATGAATTGTTTCAAATAATATAGCCCCATTTTTTGAACACAGTCAAAACACAAAATAATTGAAGTTTAGACCCCGATTAATTTAGACAAATAGCAACGAGTTTTCTGATAACTTATTATATGATTACATGGGATATACATTTATAGTTAGCTATTTCAAGGACAAGTTAACTTCACTGGCATCTCAGAAGAAAGCTTACACTCCTGCCCTATCGATATATACAATTATAATAAACTTACAAAAGTACTAGACCCTCATGGCCTTTGATTCTTTTTAATAGCGGATCAGAGGGAATGGCGTCACACACAATACACTAATGCATAGATAAAATGTGATCATGGTCTCATACGGGTTTGCTGTTATAGTACTGAATATGACAAACATTTACTCCCTGTCAACGTTTTGCCAATTACCACTCGTATTACACACTTTGTGTCCATGACAGTAGACTGGGTGGACTTAATGTTCGGTGAGGGAAACCGGCAAGCTTAGCCCTAGTACATGGGGTAGAGGACCCCAGGATAGAAATTTTTTCCATTTAAATTGTTGTTTACAAACCTGGTAGATGGGGCAAAACGCCCTGGTCAAGTCGACTAAGTGAATTGAATTCAAAAGGTGTGAACAGATTGCGCTTGTGATTGACTTTGTCACCCCAATGTGCCACCGAACCGCATGATGCTCACAAACTCTCTTAGTCAAGTTCCATCGACTTCATCCCAATGCATGCGATAACGATGTATTTAAACCATTTTTATAGTCATGTTTGCCCATTTCCACCGCTTTTTTCCACTCTCTCTTTCTTCTTCTTTGATGATATTACCCATGTAATCAGAACACGTGATTGTCACAGCAGTCACTGCCACATTTATCGATACGGATTTCAAATTTACTGATGGAACAATTCATGTCAGCGTTACATTCTATAGGTTGCGAAGCCTCGAAAAACCTGTTGCAGTGAATAGCTCTGAATACTGAATGCATGTATTCCCCAATCTTCTAACTGATTCCGAGCAGTTGCCGGTTGCAAACTCAAGTCAACTCCATTGACAGAAACCTGTACGTTCAGTAGAATGGTCATCAACAGAAAACTAAGTTAGTTCGGTTGTAGGTCTCCACACATGTGTATGAGCTGGCGAGAGAGGCCGAATTAACCGAATAGAATACCGATCTTGTACAAATATCGATCTACTACTCATCAGCAACACCATTACCACCATAAACCAGGGTGAAATTCTGTACAACGTGATTAATTCCGTTGACGTTGACAAGACATCTCTGCGTGTTCGGTTTCACTTATGCCAAGCACATGCAAATACATGCAAGCAAAACTTCCTTACAATCGTCTCACACAGGCAAACTACAGCACATTCCTCCATGTTTTGTAACACGCCTGAAAATAAACACATTAAGGAACTAAAATTTTAGCAGAAAAGTGCTTTATGGTGCAGAAAACTAAGATGAATGTTTACCCATTCTTCTTGAAGAGGGCTATGAGGTTACTAGAATACAGATCTGGAACATCTTGCTTGTGTGAAACACGAAATTATAGAGGTATTGCGGAAAACCACAAACAGCACCCGCGTGTTTTTGTGGTAGCAGTGCAACGTCAACATTCATGACATGATCTGTTACTGGTTTTATCTGCCGCCCCATGCAAACATGCCCACTTCGGTCCGATTATCCATTGTGAAGCTGATATTGACATATTGACATTTATCGATAAAGGGAGCGCTACAAACCATTACCGCCAAAGTGGGAGCACAGAAGCAGCAACCGACTATAACGAGAGCGCACTAGATCAGACGTAACGTAAGAAACAAATTCTTGCTTGTTTGCTTTCGGAAGCAATATTGCTTAACGTAAAGGAAACCGATCATATATATATATATATATAACCCGTTTAGGTAACGATACATCTTAATAAAAGTAACACTCATACAATTTGATGGATTAGACGGAATAAAGACTGGGTGACATAAGCGAGATTGCGTAGTATTCGTGTATGAAGAATAATGCCGCAAACCTTCTGCAAATCGATTCAGGCCAAATGGAGGATACAAACTTGATCCGACTCGGATAACTACTGAGAGCATCGTGAATGGAACCGATTCCAAACCAAACGTTATTCTCCGATATGAATACGAATAAATTTGAACACAACTCATTCTTGTTTTCTTGTAAAGCCAAATCAAGTAAATCCAAGAACAATAAAGAAGATGACGAGGATGAGGAAGACGATGACGAGGAGGAGGAAGAGAAAAAGGAGAAAAAAGGTGAGGACAAAGAAAATGAACGCGTCATTTATTACTGCTTCCATGCATTCATGTTGCGAGAAACTTTTGTTCACAAACGTTTCCACATAATCTAATCGCGGTTCGGTTATGAATTGTTTAGCGTATGAATCTGTATGTACCACTAAACTAAAATACCCGACGTAGCTCGGTTTTCCGGCCAATGCAGGTTAGGAAATATGATCACAGCTACCATTCCACAAGAAAACAAGCACTGTAATTTGAATAGCGCAATCAGTATATGGGGATTTATTCGTTCCTTTGGTTGCCAATCAAACAATGTTAGAATACTGTGGTGTGGAAAACGTGCGTCAATTGGTTTGCACCAGAGTTTTGTTGCGTGTCATAGCCAACACACGGCACTGTAGGCTGTTGAAACTTGTCGGAAACGTTCGTCGAAATACGCGATCTGCACCGTCAACGGTTATCAGCTCAAACGGAAATCGGTACGACGTGTCATACACGTTCGTGTTTGATTTCATCTAACTTCATAGATCAAATGGTGTCAGACAATTGAGAGGGATGTACGAACTATCCTCGAATCATGACCGAGACTGTTCAAAAATGCACAGGCTATGATGTTTATGAGTTTATTTCGAATGATGAGTTTAATAACGGTTGGTGGACATTGAGTCAACCCGAAAAAAGTAGGCACAAGGAAATGGGAGAAAATTTCGATCAGACGAGTATTCATCTTAATTTGAAACACTGAAATCAGAATACTCTGTGTGATGCGCATAATGACAACGACGGGTCATCTCATTCCCTACGATAAGTAGAGGGTTTATTGTGCCACATTCTCTTAAAATACGATTAAGAGTGAATTGATTGCTGAACCCAGGACTGGATGTGTGATTGAACGTTCAATTTCTTTTTGTCAACATGTTGCTCAATGCCAAAACATTGCATCGATTCGTTATACTACAAGGTTGGACCAACAGCAAAAGTGACCTAAGCGATTTGTCCAAGATTTCAGTGTCTCAGATAGGCAAAATTTCAAACCCAGGTTGGATTATACATGAATCGAATGGTTTGCACTGCTCACAGTTTACAACAACGACTTAGCAGACACATCTTTTGTTGAAGGCGGCTACTACTGTGACAACTCATTTTGTCGGTCTAATTGTTGTCCGAATATATCATCATTACACATTGTAATAAAACACAGGGCAGCGAACAAGCTCGTTTACGGTGACTATTCTACAGGCTAGTATATCACAATTTATATCAAACTGTATAGTAGGGTGGGGAACATGATGGGATAGAAAAGAAATAATCAACATCGCAGTTCCATGACCAGATGTTACTCACACTTTGATTATCACATATGCGCCCTGATTCGGGTCATTAAGGGTGATGGAATGGCTGTGTCGTGTGTGATGTTAGCCATGGAAGACCAAGTGTTCTCACGAATTGCTTTTTGGAGAATAGAGAGGCTAATTATGTAGGTGTTTTCCGATCGCTGCGAACTAAGTAGAGGGGTCGAAACGCCTGGGCCACAATAACTACGTGGTTTGGTTCCCCCCTGGGTGTGAAACGATTGAGCTGTTGATAGTCTTCATTAATATACTATTTAACCAGGCAGGGTGGTACTCACGGACTCGTTCAGAGAAACGTGTGTCCCACAGGAACAGGTAAATAAGTATATACAGAAAGCGACGGCAGAATTAGGTAATTTATCTTTCAATTGAAAGCACAGAACTGGCCTTGAGATGAACACAATGAGCAGTTTGCTGCCAGAATGCTTTTTCTACAACCACTTCTCGGATTGCTTGTCACCATCTCGACATTTCTATCGCTCTTGAAAGGTAACGATACGTAAACCGGTTTCTTCTCCACAGTAATGGTTTTATTTGGCAACCAGTGATGCCCCGAAATGTTATCCACAAGCTATTCGTTCCCAACGATTCACGTTTCACTGACCAGCAAACTGTAAAAAGCGTTTTCCAGGTGATCTGTGCAAACTTACGTCTGGAAAGATTCGTGATAGAACATGTCGAAATGCGTCAAGTGTGGTTCCATGCGTTTTGACATCTTTAATGTCAGCCTGACGCACGCATATATAAAGTGTACCCGAAAGTGACATGCTTAACAAAGTTTATCGAGTGATTTTTGCAATTGTCTTCTACAATCAGGAAAATCGAAAAAAAATAACTCCCGAAGTGAGTTTGGAATAAATTAAACGATTTTTGTTGGAACTATACCTGTTCCTTCATATGCCGCTTTCTTCGCCCGATTGATATAGAGTAAGACCACTACAGAGGAGCCTTTGCTCCCATTCGCACCAGTGTACGGGCATAAACAACTCATCAAACGAATACAGTAGTGGTTTTTCGAATTAAATCTTCCCGGTGCTATTTAACCCCAAGAAGTGCGATTCACCACACGACGCACTGCGGCTGTCTAATCAGCATGTCATGCTCTAATTGCAGAAGAAAACTGACTTTGGAATTCACTAAACACTGCACTTTGCCCATCTGCACTCTCACTCCATGATCCCGTTTCTCTTTTGGACATTTGTGACCATAAGTCCCATAAAAAACAAACATTTAGAGGCTTCGAATTCCAGTATAACAAGGTTGGAAAAGTTAGTGGATCTTCAAAAACAAATCCGTGATTATGAAATTTCCGGACCATTATGAGCAGCGGGGATCAAATTATCTGTAGTCAGTGCAGGTCATGTATTAATTCTATTTACCTCAAGAAGTAAACTGTGAGCACCACGCTTGCTTATACATGTTTGTTATCATTATTGGATTATGTAGGGTAAAATGATGTCCATACGTGTGTTGCACGATTGGATCAAGGTTGATAGCAAGGAACAATCTTTTTTGGAGTAATGTTATCTGATCAATCGATTTTACATCAGAAGGTAAGTGATCCAATTGAAAACAAAACCACCGAAATAGAAAACCAGATAAACTAACTGGGATGAGCATGTGAAAAAACGATACAATTACTTTCAACTTCTTTATTTTGTTTCCGCTCAAAGTGCACTGTTCTACAGAAATTTCATCTCCTAAGTGGATGTAATTGTATTCCTTGTGTACATATTGCATATCAAGTTTGATAAAATTATGTCATTATGTCTGTCGATTTTCCGTCATTACAGTTGTCGTCCAGTCATGTTTTATGACGGAACTAATTCTTTTCTTTGAACACTTCAGTAACCTCGGTGATATTCGAACCCAACTATGGACAGCGTCTACTTTTTTGTTCAGCACACTCTCTATCAGTTAAGATACGTGGTCCTACCGATTGCACTGGTGTTTCTCCACATGTGGATTACCCAAACATGATTAAAGAATTAACTTTGATTTGAAAGTTCACTCGTGAATTCTAAGCGAAACCCATTTAATGGATTCCATGTCTTTGGGTCATTTGGGTGAGTGAACAAAAAGTGAAAAGATCAGTGCTATGTATGTGACTTCGTTGCTTAGTTGACAGATCGTGCACTATAAAAAGCGTATAAGGCGTGCATACGTGGGTTCGAATCCCAGCTAAGTTACAGGTTACACAAATGAAACATCCTAATTATCATTCACATTTCCGAAGCCAAATCCATCCTATCACTTATGTTTCTTGTTCGGCTGAGTCAAATGTTAATTTCGAATGCTACTGTAGGCCACATTATCAGCAAAGATATTACAATAAATTATAGATAGTTTAATTTATTCACGAAAATTTATCCAATTATTGTTTTTGACTCCAGAAATTAGTTATTTTAAATTCCAGCAGATACACTGAATGTTCTAGATTTGTGTATCGATCGAATTTAAAGGTTTTACAGGTTGCTTTGTTTTATAAGCTCTACGCTACGCAAGAAAAATCTAATCATAAAGCTGAATAGAATTTTCTGCTTTGACCAAACTCTATATCCATTGTACGTTTGGGAAACCTGTTTTTTCTCTCATTCAAATCGGTTTACTGATCGCAACGTTGAAATTGCACCCGTTTACTGGTTTCCATTCTTTTCCTATTCTTTATTTTTCCCCGATTGTATTATCAATCTTTACATCTCCGGTCACATCATTGCCTATAAATATTGTCGATCTTTACTCATAAGTGCCTCTAATACAATTTATTAGCGTATTTGATCTTTTGCAAGATTGCGCGAAGAATATCTTGAGCTATTCTTTATCCCACTCTCTTGTGCTCACCCCCGCCAAGTGGGTCAATGACCCCTTCTGATTCAACGATGGCTCTCTCGAACAGACGACTCGGTTCAAAACCGTCGAATGTTTCAAATTTTCTCACATCTTGAATGCGAAACCTGAAAGAAACAGTGTTCGGTTAGGTTTTCAGTAAGGCCATTTATTATTTAAAGTGGATAGGTCTACTTATTCTACACCGAACTTCATTTTCATGAGTCAATAAGGTGCACACTACTATCGCTTTACCCCCCCCCTCCACCCAAGCTTTGTAATGTAATAAAAAGCAAAATGTTTTACACCATTTTATCATTCGAACTAAAAAATGGAGAAAAGTGCTGAACTGAAGGAGAACCGTGGCTGTAGGGTTACAAAGCTGAACGATAACGTACACACACGCGCACATTGGTCGAGTTGTTGTACAGGATTTCAATCGACGTATGAATGATCAGCGCGGGAAATGATAACACCGGAGAACATGGTTCTGATACCAACCATATGTGAACCAACTTTTGAGGGAGCTAATTTTTTACTTTTCCAGGAATGGAATAAACAAACAGTATCCAAGAGCTGTTAACCTTCTTTCCTCAGTTTGGTTGTGGTCATTTGCGTCGTACAGCGAGATACAGTGAATTGAACTTCACTGTTCGGTGCCAAACTTGCGATGCATACAAGGCGAATGATAAAGTACAAGAAAGATAGATGTCGGGTCTCATTGGAGGGAGGTAATGAAGGTGAACCTCTATGGTCAACAGATTACCCAATCTAAGTATTCATAAATACCTTTTCAAAAATTCTGACCTAATAAGAAATGACAAAAAGCACGCCATTACTGTATGTTAGTTGCCATGCTCTGCAGTGTCTAGAACCCACCGGTCACAGAGTTTTTAAACCTTAATCTGAAAGACGGTAGACACTTACTAAAG